GGGGACAAGCCAACATTCTCTTTGCAATCTGTAAGCCAAGGTTTACGGGGTAGTCATGTGTTAATCGCTCTCATTCTCACGCAAAAAAGTGAATAATGTCGAGAGATTTTTGCATTTTGGGTTTACGAAGGTCATACAATTAGTACATAACTGTAGCGGGACCGTTCACGTTAAACTTGTCTTGTGGCTACTCTGTGAACCATGCGTAATGAATGTTGCACGGCCTGTCTGTCTATTCTCAAGCCCTATTCACCATTCAACTCACACGATATCAGTCATTACGAAAAGTGCAAAGTCACAGCCGCTGAAAGCACCCGATACCGTGCCTTTTTTTACAGAGCCTAAACTCTGTTTGCGAGTACATAACAATGCAATCACGACCATTGTTATGCCAGCTGACATATGTCCTTGGGCGAACTATAGATAGGTCGTGAGCTGATTCCGACTGGAATGAGCTGGTGCATCTCTGCGTGCACTGTTGCCGCAATCCGCTGCTCGACTTGCACATCCGGTGCGTCACGATGTTGTACAGATTGCTTTCAATCACTTGATTGGTGGAATGATTTTTGGGTGTCCTTGTGCCAACTTTATAACTCTTTATCCATGGATAAATCAGCTTTATCCATGTTTCGTTTGTTTTGCACTTCATACAGCGAAGCAGATCCAACCAGGTCCACCTGTAATCATATGCAACACTGCGCTCCAACTAATTCACCACCGTTTAATGTGGTACTAATAAGTTCACAAGTTGTCTAGCTTCGATAAGAACTCTAGTAAAAATTGATATTTTTCTTATTTCAGAAACTGCGAGAAAAGGATAAGAAAAAGCGAATTCTGAGCAAAAAACGACAGAAACAAAAAGAGAAACAAGCGGAATCGTTTGCTGATCCGGTAAAGTTTGATGACAGTGGTTCGGATACGGAAGACTGAACACGTGGCGTGTACAATTGTACAGGATATGTTAAAAAAATATACAGCCTTACATTCTCCTTAGTTTCGTTCTCCCTCTCGGGCGCGCGGGGTAACTTTTTAGTCCCCCCGATCTGAAGGGCAACACGGATGGATTTTTGTTCCAAACCCTCCCAGTTGAATAAAAAAGTAACAATCGAATGGGTTAATCCAAGCTTGCTACCGTAAAATTGAATCAACTTCTTCGGATTACATCAGTTCAGTTTGTACAACCATTAGCCATGCACTTTCGTGCGCCGGTTTTCGTTGTCTTTTGGATGACCGTAAGGAGAAAGGCTGGAAGGGTTGAACGTAAGACCAAGAAGAAAATTTAGGATTTCATTGCACTAAATTTGCAGAGAAATCGACAAGATGCACAAACGCCACTGTTTACGACACTCAGCCATATCACTCAATGTCTCTAACCATCGGTTACGAACATCTCGAGGTCCCCATTCAGGGAGCCTAACGGGACCTATCTGAACCAGTCAGTCCCCTGGTAAGGGTTTTCATACCCTCGTACCAGGTCTTAAGTTGACCATCCCTGGCTCAACTCCACCCATAACGGGCCTCGGCAAACATCGCTCGCCATGGCAACCTGTTTAGTGACATGCGTCACACATACCCCAACCGAAGCAATGTATGAAGGTAGAACACTTACTCCAGTGGACGATCGCGATTACCTAAAATTCTGTGCCTAATTTCAGTACGGCTCATACGGCTGCTCCACTAGATTCGTGCAATGCTGCGTAGACAGCGGTGTTCAAACACCGACAGTCTATCTTCATCTTGTTTTCTTAATGGCCAAGTTTCTGCGCCGTATAGCAGAACTGGTCGAACTCCAGGGGCATACACTCGGATTTCATGGTCCTGTAGCATCCCAATCGAGGACATGCTTAGGGACCAATTTGACGCTATTTGATCTATCATCATCGTCATCGTACAGCGAAACAGTGAGACGAACTTCTTTGGTCGCTGCCAAACTTGCAATGCATACAAGGTTAGTGGTAAAATTTAAGGTGGACAGGGATCGGACCTATTTTAAGGGACGGAGAAAAAGGTGAGCCACTATGGTCAACACACAGAGTACGGAATCGAATTTACTTTACTTTGATCCGCAACTACTGCGGATCAAAAAGCCGCTAGGATAAGCAGGGTTGTGATAGAACATATCTTGGCGAATCATGGTGTACCGCAAGCCATCCTTACGGAGCAATGCCCGTGCTTTGAGAGTGATGAATTTCGCACGTGCTTACAGAAATTAGGCATCAAAAAGATACGCACAACGCCCTATCACCCACAAACCAACGGCCTCACAGAACGAAATAACAGAACAATCAAAGAGTGGCTGGCAGCGAAAGGAGGAGATTGGGAATCGGCTCTACCTTCCCTACTTTTGGCGTCCGCTCGACCACGCAGGGCAGTACCAAACGTACACAATTTTAACTGATGTATGGAAGAATTCCGAAGCTGCCAGCGGGTCTCAACCTTGACATTTGGCCGCGAAACGATTTATCTCCGCAACAACTCCAACAGACAAGACGCGAAGCCCGGAATAACGTGAAGAAGGCGCAGGAGGATACAATACGCAAGTCTAGGATGCAAACCAGACGGACGGCAAGTGTGCTTCCGGTCGGATCTAAAGTAAAGTATAAACAGTATGTTGGGGGATTCGCGAGCGGCCCTGGCTCGAGGAAGTTAATTAATGGAAAGGTCCATACCGCCATCCCGTGTACAAAATTCAACGTATGAACGAAGTTCGTCGTGTACATCGGAACGATCTCGCAACATGGCACGAGGTACAGCACACGCCGTAAACCAACGAAAGAAATTCCTTTGGCGAGCGACATTGGTTGGTTAAGGGACTATTACAGATTAGAAGGAAGGGCAAATGGAGAGGGCTGGGTACTGGAGACATAGTCAAACAAAGGTTGGGATATCTGAGCAGTAGCCCACTTATCACTACCCACTCCGCTCGGTGCAAT